TTTTAGTACGCTAGTAAAGCCGGATTACCATGGTGGCTGTCATCCAATATTCAGATGTTAGCGGGTGAGGGAATGTAACATTCGAATCCCAAAATAGTCTTGGCTTAAAGGTGTTATGCTCTGTAACATCAATATACTTCATTATATATTGATATTTTGAATTCAAATAGTTATGTATAGCGTTATTTGTATATCACCCATTTACAATGCTCGTTTTGATTGATAGTGTTATAATAACTACTGAAATAGACTTTTTTCGTTTGACATGCATAAGTACATTTTTTATAAGTACATAGTTAAACACAAAATATTATTCAGAGTTTCAACATAGTGTTTACTAAATACAACAGACTAATATATATGCAAATACATTTATTTAACAATAACACGTTTTTTCCAGGTACTATTACTAATTACTATGAAATAAAAACTAACTTGACTACTGGTTTGCTTATTTTATAAAGATTTTCATTTTGACTCGTTGACACACATTATCAGACTATATATTTATATAACTCTTTCAAAAGTAGTGTTATGATCTCTTGATAATAGAATCTTCACTGCAACGCTGTAAGTAAGATATAATTTTAATCTCTCAAACTTTAATCTTTTCGTAAATGGTGTAAAGAAAAGGCGTTAGTCATAACCACACTCTAATGTAATATTAAAGCATGGATCTTAGTCTTCTTAGTTATTATTTGTATACCGACTATGTAATAAGTATACAACTTCGATTCGAATGTTCCTTGTAATTTTTATGTCTATGAGATACAATTAAAGTAATGAAATAGTTAATTAATTTCTCTATCTTTTCAACAACTCCTTGCATGTTATTTTTACTCTTTCCTCGTTAGCGACGTCCGCAACGTCAGTCTGACCAACGTTCTTTGACTAACCGTGACGTTGTGTCAGCTGACAGCAGAGCATGTCACGTGATATGCTACGTCTCAACACCTCGACGTGACAGAACATGTTTGGACATGTGTCACAGCTGACAGTTTATTTTGATAACTTTTTCGTTTAATCTTCTATTTATGTGTATCCGACCATCCTGGTTGGTAAACCACTTTCACAGATAGCTTCATCATACTTATCAACCAGTTGACATAGTCAAATAATGTAGATTGATCTCGATATTGCTGAAGTTGAGTCAGCTTTTGGCTCTAAAATGTACTGAGCTATCCTAGATCGACGGTCTTTTTATAAATTGTTTTGGTTTTGGAAACAGGAAACTCAGTATGAGTAGTTATATTTAACATTTTACTGCTCTTCAAGCGAAAATTATGAACAAACTAGTCAATTGATAGTCAAAGGCATAATTAATGGCGTTATTGTATGGCGCGGTCTTATGTGGAAAAAGTACCTAATGTTTTGCTGAAAAATGGCATAGAAAGTCTGAATAACGTTTAACTGTTTAACATATGATAACGAATATAGAAGAAGCACATTTAAAGTGATCTTTTCAAACCCATGACTAGCAAGCTGGATTTTATATGTACAAAAATACTCCCAGCTTTTTTGGACTCGAAATAGCTTCCTGAGAATTCGAAATGATTAAAACCATTTTAAGCCACCTTCTTGGCTTCATTTAGTGCTCCTACTCTATACGCGGCTTCCTTTAGTACTCTTTCTCAATACGTGGATTTATTTAGTTCTCTTTCTCAATACGTGGATTTATTTAGTTCTCGTTCTCAATACGTGGATTTATTTAGTTCTCGTTCTCAATACGCGGATTTATTTAGTTCTCGTTCTCAATACGTGGATTTATTTAGTTCTCGTTCTCAATACGTGGATTTATTTAGTTCTCGTTCTCAATACGCGGATTTATTTAGTTCTCTTTCTCTATACGTGGATTGATTTAGTTCTCTTTCTCAATACGTGGATTTATTTAGTTCTCTTTCTCAATACGTGGATTTATTTAGTTCTCGTTCTCAATACGTGGATTTATTTAGTTCTCTTTCTCAATACGTGGATTTATTTAGTTCTCTTTCTCAATACGTGGATTTATTTAGTTCTCTTTCTCAATACGTGGATTGATTTAGTTCTCTTTCTCAATACGAGGATTGATTTAGTTCTCTTTCTCAATATGTGGTTTAGTTTAGTGCTTAGTCTCACTTTCGGCTTCATTCAGTCACATTCACAATGGCAGTGATTGTGCAGTTGATGACGTAGCTACAGTTGATGACGTAGCTACAGTTAGTGACGTAGCTACAGTTGATGACGTAGCTACAGTTGATGACGTAGCTACAGTTAGTGACGTAGCTACAGTTAGTGACGTAGCTACAGTTGATGACGTAGCTACAGTTAGTGACGTAGCTACAGTTGGTGACGTAGCTACAGTTAGTGACGTAGCTACAGTTGATGACGTAGCTACAGTTAGTGACGTAGCTACAGTTGATGACGTAGCTACAGTTAGTGACGTAGCTACAGTTGATGACGTAGCTACAGTTGATGACGTAGCTACAGTTAGTGACGTAGCTACAGTTGGTGACGTAGCTACAGTTAGTGACGTAGCTACAGTTGGTGACGTAGCTACAGTTAGTGACGTAGCTACAGTTGGTGACGTAGCTACAGTTGATGACGTAGCTACAGTTAGTGACGTAGCTACAGTTGGTGACGTAGCTACAGTTGATGACGTAGCTACAGTTAGTGATGCTGACCAAGCAGCTTGACTGACACAACCTGAACAAGCAATCGTTGCAGTTCCTAACTCATGTTTAGATTGATGTCGCTTTCCAATGAATCTATAGATGCATCTAAGTTTGCTCTCAATATCAAAATCTAAAGCAAAGCTAGTTGTTTTTCTAGTGTTTTTAATGTCAGGCCCGTCATTGAGAGTTCTTGAATGCTGTTTTCTATGTTTCCTTGGGTGTGATGGACCGACCATAACCGTAAATTTGTAGGTTAATAATAATTATGATTTTACTTGTGTAATATGCCTCGTTAACGTGCTGACACCTATTTAAATTAATATTAGTTTTAGTGGCATCGAATTTCAAGTACCTAGTTCAACTTAGGTGTTTTTTAAGTTTTAACGAACGCCTCTCTAAGAGTTTACCACTAATGCAATGAAGTAAAAAATTTTAACACTAAACTAATACAAAATTTATAATTTTATTAAATTTCAAGAGGGACACAGGTTTTAACTCATTTTTATATTAGATTTACTTTTATATGAATATCGAAGTTTTTATTGCAAGAGAAAGAGATATAACTGAATTATTATTATTGGCTGAACGAAGGTGCTGGAAAAACTTGTTGTTTGGGTGATGAAAATAAAAACTTTATGGGGGTGGTGAAGGTTTTTGTGAAGGTTTTCATATCTTGACAAAGGGCAAGGTATGGTTAGGATAAAGCTTCGTGTGGGCTGACACTGAACTTATGATATCCTTACGTCGAGTATGTGTGTGTGTGTGTGTGTGTGTGTGTGTGTGTGTGCTCGTAGAATAATGTGAGGACTTGACTGGTTTTAGGTTCTATGCTTTGTGTCCCTGACGTTTTCTCCACTTTCATCCCTTTGTACACAACGATATCAAGGAATTCTCAGAATATGTAGTTTTATTGAAGACTTTTTTTATAGTAGTTCAAAAATGGTAATAAACGTTACTTAAAAAATTCTAAACTAAAATAACGTCAACACATGTCACTTTGACATTCATAAATTGTTACTATATTTTTAAAGCTTACAATGACTTGCTTCAAAACAAAATCATTTATACCTTTTTTTTGTAATGCTACTTAGGCCTAGCTGGTGCAACACCAATATGGACAGTAGCACTGAAATCAACATTTTATTTGGTTTAGCTGCATTGGAGGTGGCCGTTTTCGATGCGATCTTAGCTGGATAGCTTATCGGATACAGAAACAGCCTAGTAATCAGTTGTCCGCCCCTTCAATCCAGGGGAAAAGCAAAATAGTTTTCAAAGCCTAGTTTGAAACATGAACCAGCCCTCCTATGTTATTAGGCTGAATAAATGGCTAGAGAGCCAGCTAATCTTAGCCAGTAAGAAATGTATAATTTCACATATTCAACACCCATCTTTGCTTTAAAATGCACACTCTGAAAACAAAAATAAACTGTGTCAGCAATCTGACACATACTTTTCCCCCCATAAGCTTGTCAACAACCTTTATCATGGGTAAGTGGTCGGAGTAACAATGATAATTTTGTAGAAAAAATCACAAAGTTGCCATAATATTTTAACCGTAATTGTTACAGTAATGGGGGTTGCATTATTTTGTTTAGAATTATGAACCATAACACGTTAATTTCAATCAAAACCTGGATTTTTTAATCAGATTTTTTGTAATTTTATGGGATTCTTTATGGGAAAATAACATAAGTTACTATAACTTTTGAACCGTAGTTATTACGGAAATGGGATTTGTACCATTTTGTTCAGAACCTAAAGGACTATAACATACTAAACGTTATCCAAATCGTTGGGGCCATTTTCGAGAAAATCTGATATTCCGTTGTTTTATGGGTTTTATGGGAAAATTCCCATTAGAAATCAACTACAGGTGTCTGTATCTCTGTACACATCCACACATAAAGTCACACACACAGAAATCACTTCGAAAACCACTTTTTTGGGTTCAGTGGGACCCAAAATGGATATATCCACTCAAAACTCAGACTCGACAATTTTGACGAAAACAATAGTTTGTATAGGGGGAGAAAGTAAAAGGGAAAACTAACAATCCAGGAACATATTTCTTTGTTCAATTAGTGATTTAATTTCGACACATGCAAAATGGAGATCAACAATACTGTTATCATTACTGGGTCAAGGTCAACGGGCTTCGGTTAACTTCGGGAGTCTCCGGGTATGTTCGGGGGTGTTCGGGAGGGATGGTCCCAGCCTCCCGGTGCTGTACCACCCTCTGTTCAGTTTATCCCGCGTTTTCAGGTGAACCGGAAGTCTGAGGTCCGTGTGACGTTCCGGTGGTGAAGTTGGAGGTTGAAGTCGAAGGGTGTGTGAAAGTCATTGTCAGAAGTGAAGTTGAATAGTGAAATGTGGTAGTGTTGAAGTGAAACACAGTGGCAACTAAAGAAGTGAATGTGAAATGGTTGTGTAGTTTTGGGAAAATGTAGGTATTACGTGAAAGTGAATATTCAAAAATGAAATATGAGAGAAATAAAATACAAGTACAGTTAATATTTTAGATTACACGAGATGATGGTTTTTTATTACTACATGGTTGTAAGATTTTCATTCATTTTGTTATAAACTACTCCTTTTTAAATAGATTTTTGTTTCCTTCAAAACATGTAGGGATGCAAACAGATTTTTAGGATTCAACTAAGTAGCTAGTGACACTTGGGTCAGACTGGACAATCCATTGCATTTTTATTCTGAATAATCTCCATTCTTCTGTCCTTGCAAACACTAATATCGTTAATTTATCATCTACAAATATATTTAAAATTTTAAAGTTACTAAAACAACATATTCACATATTAATTATAGCTTCGTTATTCAATACGATTCTCACTCGCACAACATCTACACAAACTTTTATTCATACTGAAATTGAAGTTTTACGAAAAAAATTCCCATTTCATCAAATAGGAGAATTTTTCGTTAAGTAGGACGCTCGATAAAAAAATGTTATATATATTTTTAATAATTCCGTATTGACTACTATAAGCTACGAAAACAAAAAGTCTTTGAAACTCTGATTTTATGTTAAAAGTTGAAATTGACAAACCATCGATAAAACATCAAATTAATATTAAAATTCTTACATGAAAAAATTCAGCCTCAGACCAGTTAATTTCTTTGCTGCACTTAATAATATAATCGTCGATATGACGCAATCGATGTTCTATATGCAATTAATAGTGTCAGCATCCAATTGCCGTTGGGAGTAAGTAATATTAAACCATAGTCAATTAGTGTTTCAAACCAATATCAATACAAGATATTAAGTCAACATAATATATAAATTATCTTCTTCTGAGAATATTGTATTTGAATTAATTTCATGCGAAAATATTTCAGACCCAGCTAAGTAACAATTAGTAATTATAATTTTCCGTCTGAGCTAGTTACAACTATCTAAAATTTCACCTGAAAAATCCTTAAACTGTTGTGTGAAAAGGGACTGTATTAGAACCAAACTTATCCTTATTAATACTAGTTGTTCTGACCGACTCTTGATGCAATACAGAAATCTATGGGACATGAAATCTAAAGGTCGAGTCAAGGAAAAGTAAACAAACTAAATCAAAAACAAATTGAACAGCTGGTGTATCATGTTTTAAATGTAATTAAATACAGTCCTTAAATTTGATGTTCCTACCCTTAGGAGATGGCTTGTCAAAAAACTCTTATTTTTCGGGGAAGTTTCACAGCAAGACCTTTCATTCAAGTACGCAATTGATAGATGTGCGGCTTATGGTTTTCTCAAAAGTTCGAATCCATCCTAGCTTTAATCAAACCTTTAAATTCCTTTCAAACAAGTTAGGAATTATTAGATATGCAACGGTTGGTTTAAAATCCAACAGTAATCCTTAAATAATAATGTAGATACAAATTCGTTAGCTTAGCTTGCAAATTTACTAACCATTGTTATATAAGTGGAGTGTAACGTAATGTAATTTTTTTAAAGTTGAATACCAGTACAGTGTGCTAAGAAGAAACTGTTGCTTACAATCAAGCTAATTTTACATCAAGCAATCAAAATCATGATCAACGTCAAGAACAAACCAAATGAAAAAATAATCAAATAGGCATAGAGAAAACTAAACAAAAGCAAGCAATTCACAAAACTCGTGCAAGTGTAGAGCCAATAGGAGAGCTGGGAGGTTGTATTTGGATTTTCAATCCAGTTGGTTCCAAGCTTTATAGACAAAGTAGTTAACGGGATTCAGAAGTAGTATTCGTGTTAGTTGATAAAATCAAGTTGGATTCGTAATATGTTTATAGATTAGGTTGAGAAAATCGAATTAGTCAAGTTTTCTGAAAATATTTTAAAATTGTTTGCATTGAAAAATATAGTGCTCCCTGGCTGACCAGTAAAATAGAAACAATAATTGAAAGTAATGTTAAAATTGATCAAAAACCTTCACACACCTAAAATTATTTGCAAACCAAAAGTTGATTATGGTAGTAAATGCATTTCACTAATGATTACGACCACAAATCGTGAAGAAAACAAAATATATAGACTGTGAACATAAAAAAGTGAATTTTCAGAGATTAATTAAATATTATACTGTATTGTCAGTTGACAATATTAACGTATTGTATTGCAGAACAGTATTTGAGTGTATTGCTGCCAACAGTGTATCCAATAGTGGATCACACGCACAGCCTGTCATGTGTTCAACTCGCTTTCATTTCTACCTCGACAAGTTAATCCAACTGGAGCAGGACAAAAATCGATCATTCGTTTTACAACAATACGCGGCTTAAGCGAAAAACGGTGGCAAAACAATTTTTTATCTGAGTCCAAAAACGTCGACCTGTATCATCGGGTTTCGAATCGGATTTACAAAAAATGTAATTGCTATTGATTTTGAGAAATGTTATTGAAATTTCTAAATCTTATTGCTCTACGTTACAGTGGTTAGATCGAATCAATTCCTATTTGTATTTTTAATTTTGTTATGTTAATATCACCTGTTTGAAAGAACTGGGTACAAATCATCACTGAGCTTTGATGGACGTATACAATTATGTTTAATGAATAATTTCTTATAAATATCTAACCAATATATTTGGTTTGAATTCAGTCTAAAACGATATCGACAGACCTCCTGCTCTATTTTTATAATTGAAAGAATCCCATCCTGGACGAAAAAGGGGGTATTTAATAATTTTCTTGCAATTTCTTTCCAAGTTCATTAAGTTGCAGCCCCGTATGGAATTGACAATAACGTACCATATGCTGTACGTTAGTGCTTATTTATTTTGTTTGTACTGATTTTAAAACCAAAGTTTAACTATAAATACATAATTTTATTAGTTATCGATTTTATTAGTTGTCGGTTTTAAATAAAGATATTAGAAATCGTTTACGACAGTAATTGTAGTCAAAAAAAGAAAAAAAAACTACTGTACATAGATGGAATACAGTTGAGAAACGCATCGTTATTGGCTGAAATCACAATAAACTTTGCGTCATCGTCAGAGTGGAAATGTGTTGGTGATAAATTTAGAAAATAACCGGATAGATAACAATCAGAGCGGAAGATAAGAGCGATTCATTATCATTGATCGGCGAGAGTCGTCGGTGCGGCGCCCAGGGTTGTCATAGCGACGTACAGCTGACTTTACAGTAGCTACAGCTGACACTACGTAAAATAGTGACGTCATTACCTACAACTGATTACACAATAGTAACGTCATTAGCTACAACTGATTACACAACAGTAACGTCATTAGCTACAACTGATTACACAACAGTAACGTCATTACCTACAACTGATTACACAATAATAACGTCATTAGCTACAACTGATTACACAATAATAACGTCATTAGCTACAACTGATTACGCAATAAAAACGTTATTACCTACAACTGATTACATAAAATAGTGACGTCATTAGCTACAACTGATTACATAAAATAGTGACGTCAATACCTACAACTGATTACATAAAATAGTGACGTCATTACCTACAACTGATTACACAATAATGTCATTAGCTACAACTGATTACATAAAATAGTAACGTCATTAGCCACATCTGATTACATAAAATAGTGACGTCATGGTCTGAAACTGATTACACAATAGTGACGTTATTAGCTACAGCTTATTACATAAAATAGTGATGTCATTACCTACAACTGAATTCATAAAATAGTGACGTTATTAGCTACAACTGACGGACGCGTTGCAGAAAGTCAACAGTCCCGGAAGGTCAAATAATTTATACCTGTGCCGCTAGGTCAAAATCTACAATGTTTGCAGTGTCTGTAGATCAAAAATCCCAGAAAGTCAAATAGTACAGTCCGGGCTAAAAGCTTAGTCTATGTTAAAGCAATTGACTTATTGGGAATTTGACCTAATGCAACAGCAGTTTTAATATAACGAAATAAGATAAAATATAAGTTCAGTTTCGCTGAGTCAACAGTGCCGGAAGGTCAAAAGTATAATCTGTTAAAAACAACGATAGTCCTCTCGACGCATGACTTCAATAATTTCGTGTTTTGGTGTACTTAAAGTTGTGCTAAAATTTTGAAATTTGGCACAGAGCTTCTTGGTTAGTCCTACTCGATGACTATTTTGTTGGAACTTTAACTATTTACCGATCTAAATAATAAAAATTGATTTGTATGGTGAAATGGTTTTAAATCGTGATTTCTAACATGAAAAAGTTAGCATGCGAGATTTTTTTTGTTTTTGGGTTAGGGAGGTTTTGTCTGTGGCAAAGTTGTAGCCAAAAGTGTGATGCGTAAAATATATTTTTTGGATTTTTTTACAATCAGTGGTTCAATAGATAACTTGGGTTGAAGAGGACGGCAAATTTAGCATTTCGCAACGCATGGAAAGAACTACATCGTACGATGCGACTGCTGAGTGGACTTTAATGTACAGTTCTAAGGACAAGAAAAAGATGAATATACAGATCACCAGTACATTCATATTATTTATAAAACATCTTTCTGTATTACCAGCTTACATTTTTCACTTATAAGAATACATCATAAACAGGGTGTTAAAATAAGAGGGAAGATACTTTACCTAGTAATTCCTTGGGTCAAAATAAACAGAAAATCAAGAATAACATTTTTTCCAAAATCGTTTCGTTAACCAGATATCCGCCATTTTGTATTTTTTACATACAAATATTTATCTTTACACTTTTCCAACCGATGTTTATGAAACTTGGTATGTGTGTTAAGGTAGGAGAGACCCATGTTATAAACAATGATTCATCTTGATTCGCCCTAAAATTTCAAAATTTAACACTTAACTACAATATAATATACTTTACTACACCACAATATTTACGTACCTATCACCATAAATCTTTAATAAAATAAAACGTTCACATTTTTAAAATCCAAAGTAAATCAATGTAATCTTTCTTTTTTGAAAAATATAGTAAAAAAATAAGGCGATGTTAAAATAACGACAGGCGAGTTTCGATCTGGGTGTTTCAGGTTTGAACCTAGGAGGATTTAACATTAATTAACATTAATGTTTAATCCTCCTAGGTTTGAACTGATTGAGAGGAATACATGAAACCGAAGGGGGGAGGTAGCAACAAGTGCACTAGTACTTACTAGTGTCCAATTACAATTTGATGGATTGAACCAAAAACCTTTTCTATTTCACTTATTTTCAGCTGTTAAATTTCAAACAATACGTTGTAGCTACATCATCATCATCGTTTGAGTTTGGGTTTTACCGTTTTCACATGAACAGCGGTTACCCGGTATATAAGGAACTAGGTGAAAGCCGTCGAAATCGACGGTTGGGGGCCTCCTCGTTTATATGGTCGTGTGGCTTCATTGGCAACAAATAATGCAAATCAAATAGCAATATGGCATTTTCAAAGAGATTTAAATTGGCTGTTACGTAAATATTGACGTTTACATGCATTGTTAATCAACTTATAAAGGATAATGTGATCTAGTTTAAAAGAAATATGACCTTCCTGTCATGACAGTAGCTGTTTAAATAGTATTTACTCTTCCAGCCAAAATATCGTGTTACTTTCAATGATGTTACCAACCCAGTGGGCCACGGTCCGTAATATAGGCCACTGCAAATAATGTGTCAAGATAGGTACCATTTTAGGCAAGGTTTTTGTGTTTTGATGTTATTAGACACGATAAAAGCACACTGAACATATTCTGCAGATGAATAACTGTTGGAGAAATATAAGCCGATTCATAAATTAATGTCACAATGCAAGTTTGAGCATTTTGTAACTATATGAGAAAGTTACATAGTATTTCTTAGACTGCTGCTCAGTGCACTTTAGAATATGTTTTTTAGAGATAAATTAAATTATTTTCGTTGCTGAGTAGCACTAGTAAACATGCACAACGCTTTTTCGTTAGCCTAATAACATTCAAAGGCTCTCTAAGAGTTCAAGAAAATAGAATTGCAAATACTTCCTTTGGACAATTCAGTAACTCTCAATAAATGTGTATTGTTTAAACATTACACATAGTATAAATAAGTCAACCATTAGTATGTATTTGAATTTTTTTCCAAATGCTGAATTTGTGTCACAAATGCTGAATGTTACAGCTGTTATGTTAAGCAAATTATATTGTACTAAAAGCTAGCTAGAAGCATTGACTATTGGAGAAGGTTAGCATCGGCTATAGACTTTTTAAAAACTAAAACTTAATTTCTAAAAAACTGGGACCCTAATTTAAAATTATGGCTTTGACATTCCCTAGTTCTCAAAATTATCTTTCTTTGAACACAAAAATTATGAAAATCCGTCGACTGGTTGATTCAGAATCGTGAAAAAACCCCATTTACGTTTTAATAATATATATGATGGTTTGGACAGGTTTCAACCCTTCCGAGGCGTAATACATTTACACAGTTTATGTGTAGACTACATTATAACTCATAAAATAGTTCTAAAATTAAATGGATCTCCTTTTACAAACGTATATAATAACCAGAAATTTTCAGATCGTCCTTGCGTGTATTTCATGCCACAAATTTTGACGAAAGGCTTTTCATTACATAAACTATACCTATTTACAGTGTTGACCAAACAGTTGGCAATAAGCATTAATAGATAAGCTATGTACCAAATATGATAATTTTAGCTCTATTCTAATTATGACAAAACACGAAGTAACTAAAAGCGAGTTTTGCTTGTGTAGTAAGCGTTGCAGGAGGTCTACTTTACACTGAATCGACGTTCACTTTTATTGCTTTTGATCTTCCGGCACTGTTGACTCAGCGAAACTGAACTTGTATTTTACCGTATTTCGATATATTAAAACTGCTGTTGCATTAGGTCAAATTCCCAATAAGTCAACTGCTTTAACATAGACCACGTTTTTAGCTCGGACTGTATTATTTGACTTACTGGGACTTTTGATCTACAGACACTGCAAACATTGTAGTTTTTGACCTAGCGGCACAGGTATAAATTATTTGATCTTCCGGTACTGTTGACTTCCAGCAACATTCCCCAACTGACTCTTCATTAAATAGTGGCGTCATCATCTACAACTGACTCTTCATTAAATAGTGACGTCATCAGCTACAACTGACTCTTCATTAAATGGTAACGTCACTTACTAGAACTGACTCTATATAAAATATTGACGTCAATAGCGACAACTGACTCTTCGAAAAATGGTGACTTAACTAGCCACAATTGATTATATAAATATTATAACTTTATTAGAAACTGTTCATTTAAGAAACAACTTAAAAACTTGCATATTTTCAATAAATCGTTATTAAGATTTGAAGACTGAAATTACACCGAAATTACGAAGTTTACGAATTACACGAACAAGGAATTTTATAGACAATATTTTTTGCGTTTCGATGTTCCTTTTTAAGGTTTAAGTTTGGTGAGGCGGCTACGAATTGTATCTTTACTTTTGAAAACTGTCCAAACATTGTATTTTGAATTTATGTGCCTTAACTTTTCTGAGACATTTTTTACGTACGGAGAACTACGAAAGGAGAAGTAGAACAGTTGAGAAATAAAGCAAAGGATGTGAAATGCTTATCTACGTAAAAATAGTCACATAACTAGCTTCAATTGATTCTACCTTAAGTAGCGACGTCACTATTGTTGATATATTCACGGCACAAAACTAGACCTATATCCCTTGACTACGATGTAATTTCACATGAAGTAGACAGGCTGGAGTTTAGTACAATATACACTGTACATAGTTTGAGGTTATAATAGTATACAGCATCGCCATGCTACTATTTGCTTCATGAACTGTTACACTAAAGTGACCTAGACTAAACATTAATGCAACCTAAATGTATCCCAGGCACTGATTACTCTCCTTTGTGCTATAATATTACATACTTCAAACACCGTCTGCCCAGTGACCGTGATAACGTTTAATGAAATGTCACAGGGTTTAGCGTTTAAACCATTTCATCGCAGACTATGTAGGAGTCGACTTCAATCTTCATTACTCAAAACTCTAAACCTTTCTCATCACTTTGAAAGCTTTTGTTTAAATTGTTTGTGTAGTCTTTGAAATTTGTACTAAGATTAGGTTGTAGTTTAGATAAATTAATTTGATATTTGCACAATTATTATTAGAAAATTATTCTGTCAATATAGAACAGTAAATTTAGAAGAACCGTTTACATTTTTTACACGTTTAGAAAAAATTTCACTTATTGACACTACACTATGAATTCCTACTAGTATTTGACTTGTTTACTGGTAAAATTTCTCCCAATTTCCAAGAATATTTAAAAATTTGCCCTCAACACATAGCTATAATTTTTTTAATACTAAAACCTCTAGTAATCACACTCATAATCTTTCCACAGGCTTATGTCATAAACTATGATGATATTGATTAAGTGACCGCCTGATAATCAAAATCTTCCTGTGAAAATGTTATTTCAAGTGATAAAATAATAATGACGTTCAACAAGTGACCAACTCGTATCCACAAACGTGTCAACTTAGTGAGGAATGCGGTCCCAAGTGATCAAGTGAAATCGTTGGATATTGATTTACTCAAGTTTTACATCAAATCGTACAATTCAAAAGTTCCCTGAAGTTAGCGAGTGACTATTGTATACCTTGGAGAGTCTGTGTGGTAGAATGTTGTCGTGAGTGGTCGAATGAGTGAAGTGATGGCAGTTTAGTCACTAGTGATGGATTCCTCGCTGGAGAGGTTGCTGCGAGTGCCGTCGGGCCCCAGCCTAGCCTCCATCACCGCTTCTGCCATAGGACGCAAGGGTCGCCATCTCACAGGCACCTTCTGCCTCACCGGGGACACCATGGAGGGCATAATACAGTGTCTGGTCTTTCTCAAGGCCTTTTCGGTGAGTAAAAAGAATATTTTTGAGAAAGATAGAACTTCCTTATGTACTTTATCTAGCTTTACTTTCTTTTTGGGAGATTTCCCTTCAAATCCATCCTCAATACCTTCAGTTAATTTCTCAACACATTTATTCCCCTTCTCAATCCCTTCAGTTCCCTTCTCAATCCCTTCAGTTCCCTTCTCAATCTCTTCAGTTCCCTTCAGTTCCCTTCTCAATCCCTTCAGTTCCCTTCTCAATCCCTTCAGTTCCCTTCTCTATCTCTTCAGTTCCCTTTTCTATCTCTTCAGTTCCCTTCTCAATCCCTTCAGTTCCCTTCTCTATCTCTTCAGTTCCCTTCTTTTATTCTCAATCCCTCCAGTTCCATTTTCAATCTCTTCAGTACCCTTGTTTTTTTCTTAATCCCTCCAGTTTCATTCTCAATCTCTTTAGTTCCCTCCTCAATGTCTTCAGTTTCCTTCTCCATCCCGTAAGTTAACTTAAGTCTCTTCAGTTCCCTTACCGATCCGTCCAATTCTCTTCCAAATCTCTTCAGTTTCCTTTTCAATCCTTTCAGTTTCCAACTCATTATCTTCAGTTCCCTTCCCATTCCCATGAGTTAAACTGTATCCTGCCCTGAAGTTTCGCATCTAAAACGTTTACGAGTGTTTTTGCCAATTCTACACTTTCATATTTTGACACGCTAATACGTTTATATATTTTTTTATTGTGCTGTCTGTCAAAAATCTGCACTGTTCCATGAACGTGAGTAAATAAATTGTATGTTTTACATAAAACCAAACATGATATTACAACCATATGAATACAAAGTTTATTTAAAAAAGGTTTGAAAAGAACGATATTTTTTTATTGGCAGCCATTCCTTTGGATTAGCATTTATCCACAAAGAACCTACGAAGCAGTCTTCAATATAATCTTCCTAGTATGTTTTGTAAATGTACGGTCCCACGTAAAAATAATAATACTATTCTCACTGCAATTAAACTTCATGGAATATATACAAATGTATATAATTTAGATATACGAAGCATGACTTAGTGACACAGTCAGGTCACAGTTTCATATACCGGTGTCGTCAAGTCAATGGACTATCTGGATCCCAAACTTTTATTATCACAATGCAGCATGTTGTTTTAAACCATAGTTCTTAACAAGCTTTTTAATTTGAACTTACCTAAGGTTCATCAATCTACTTCGTTACTCAGTAGTGGTAATAAGCTGGGTTTACCCCACTTCCGGCATTTTTTGGCCCATTTTTAGAGGGTATGGAGACGTTTATAGGGGCACTGGAGACGTTTTAGAGGCTTTATGTTGGCATTTTTGCATTTTTTCTCCGAGAGCTTTTTTTGACCACTTTTTTAAAAATCCAGCTCTTGACCTATACAAGCCTATATCAAATATTCAATATCAAGCCAAAAAAGCTATTTCTTATATTTATTGACCCTTACAAGTGTAAATGTAAAGTAGTGGTAATAAGCTGGGTTTACCCCACTTCCGGCGTTTTTTGGCCCAGAACTTTTAAAATTTTCGGCGAAAAAAATGTCCGAAGCCCCAGGAGCTTTTTTTGGCCACTTTTCTTAAGGACCTAGCTCTCGACCTATACACCCATATATAAATTTTTTACTTTTTTAATACTGAAAAACACGTCTGGAAATGGTGAGCTTTTTTTGACCACTTTTTTAAAAATCCAGCTCTTGGCCTATACAAGCCTATATTAATGTTCAATACCATTGTACAACTTCAATCCACATCCATTCACAAGTATATTCTCAAAATCGATTGAGGTTTGTATGTGAACTCGGGTGTGCTCCCGGCTCATGGCGTGGGTATGCTCCAGGCTTCTTGCTCTCGACCCATGCTCCCACATCTCGTCTCTAGTGGTGACGCGCTCCCTTGGATATCCTTAGTGGAAATCCATGAGTTCTGGCTACTTGGGAATCCAAGCCATTTGACATACAATAAATCACCCTTTTTCCTAATTACCTTCTCTACCAAATACATGTCCTTATACTTGGTCTTTAACAACTCCTCTGTATAGAAACCTCCCCTGATTATATTGCCATTTTCATCTTTCAAGATATAAGTCACAGGCTTTGTATTCTTAACTTCTGCTATTGTAAATAGTTCCCCTGTCCAATTTGGAGTATAACCTTTACTAAAAACATGTTTATACTTGGAAATCCTCACACTATCACCTACCTTATATCTTGGTTTTTTAACTTGCACTACTTTAGAAGTCCTTTCATGCAACCTCTCATGCACATATTTACTATTTTTAACATTCACTTGGTTAGGCTTCATTCCTATAGATCTATGCACCTTATTATTATATTTTCGAATTAACTTTGGAAGTAAATCTAACCATTTATAACTCCCCTGAGCACTAAATTCCCTATATAACCAATTCTTTAAAGTTCTCTGAAACCTCTCCACAATTGCAGCCTTAGTTGTAGAAAATGTGTGATAGTGATTAATATTTAATTTTTTCATTAGTTTGCTAAAATATTGATTAAAAAATTCTTTTCCATTGTCAGATTGAATGTTTTTAACCCCCTTTGGTAGAATTGTTTTAATGGCTTCTGTAACCACTAACCCTGTCTTATTCTTTAGTGGAGCAGCATAAGCTTTTTTAGAAAATGTATCTATTAAAGTTAAAATATATTTATTGCCAGAATTTTCTCTAGCATAGTTTTGCATATCAATTAAATCTATTTGTATGGTTTCGTTTATACCCAATACTTTAAAAGACCTTCTAATGAAATTCTTTCTTGCAGGCTTATGAAGTTCGTATGCAATTTCATTCATTTTTTATAACATCATCCTTTCCTGTAACTCTAAATACATCACCATTAGCCCCAATCAATAGATTATCTTCCATTCTTTTAAATACATAGTTTTCTGGTATATATGGTCTATTATCTATATACTTAAATCCACTCAAAGATGTGGGATCAGCAACTAATAAATCAGGATTATATTCCATCAAATTAAAAAATTTTTCTCCATATACAAATTTTGATCCATCGTAATGCATAGCCTGTGACATTAGACAAATGTCATCCGAATGTTCCCCTTTTGGTAGATTTCTTATAAATATATTTCTGGCATCAAAACAATATAGTTTTTTATTATAAGTTATAGTCTGTTCTTTTATAACACAGTCAGTGTCATCAATGGCAGGTTTAACACGTACTAACCTTTTATTATTAAAATTCCAATAGCCTGCTTCCATTTTTGGAACTTGTGAAACATTCACAGCATCTTTACTATCTGTACCTTCCATCAAATCACTAAGTTTCTGTTTCTTAGCATTCCAAACACCATTCTCTGATTCTAAAAATTCATAATTATTATCGTCTTGTATAAATTTACCATCTTTTTTTCGTATTAAAGTCTGTTGTAAAGTGGGCACATCATTTAAATTTTCACCCTTTTCTACATTAGTAATTTTCCGTTTCTTAGCATTCCAAACACCATTTTCTGATTCTAAAAATTCATAATTATTATTGTCTTGTACAAATTTACCATCTGTTCGTATTAAAGTCTGTTGTAAAGTGGGCACATCATCTAAACTTTCACCTTTTTCCACATTAGTAATTTTCTGTTTTTTAGCATTCCAATTTTTATTCTTGGATTCTAAAAACTCATATTTAGTTTTACCTTGTAAGAAGACATCACCTTTTCTAGTTAATGTCTGTCCCAAAGTTGATACATCATCTACAAACTCCCCATCTTTAACATTACCAATTTTACGGTTTAAACCATTCCAACTATCGTCTTGTAAATTTAAAGTAGGTTCACTACTAGCCCTGGGTTCTGCAGGCTTATTATATGGATTATATAAACGATAAAATTTATCTATAAACATATTTTTATTTAATAAATAATTCCACTTTCTCTCAATTCCTCAATAATGGAATCTATTTCATTATCCACTCCTGAGTTACCGGCTTGGCGACTTAGCCAAAGAAGTCTTAACCTATCTACAAGCTCATTAGGATCATCCCAATAAATATAGTCTATTTTATTACCAGTCACTTGTCTCAAACCTTCACCAACAGATCTAAATAGAGGTTTAATTATATTAAGATATTTAGTATGTCTATTACTTGAAATTGGTGCACCATCTTTGTAACTCTTTAAATGTCCATTTGTAGCTTCTAAAATCTCTTTATAATTTTGCAAATCAGCCGGAGTATAATCCTCAGGTTCTTTTAAAGTTAACAATTGCCACAAACCTTTTGTCCCCTTGTAGGTTTTATTTGCAATTGTAACATCATCATTGGCAATATTAACTTCCTTATTTCCAATAAAAAATTTATTTGCTTCTCGTCTAATACCATATGTAGTGTCTGTCATACTACTTTTACTGAGGTAATTTCCTAAATAGTCTGATGCTAAAAGACCAAAATCTAATTTCTGTGGGGTGTGTGTTTGTAATGGTTGCAATCTTGGTATCATTGATATTCTAGACGGAGTCATTGGGAGAATCTCCATTCGAGGCCTCTCTGATGTGATTTTTTTTAATTCTTGTAATGGCTCAATTAAAGGTTGAAATGTTTGGAACCTCTCTTCAGCCTCTAGAAACTTGCCACGTTTTAAAGCTCTATATTTCTCTCGTATTTGATTTGCAGAGTCAACCAATTCTTGTTGAATGTTTTTCATCTTTTATTTACATTTTATTTATCTCATTTGACAAAGGATTGTACTCAAACACTTTATCATGTATTATCAAACAATATGCAGATGTATTTGCTGGCACATTTTCTGCAGTTTCAATCTCTAATTTAATATCAACAATTCCTTCCTTCACTGTTTCGTTCTGTCTAGAACAGTCTATTACAATTAGTGGATATTTCTTCATAAACTCGGCCCTACTAATCATAGGATCTGGGATAGTATTATAGTAAGTCTCTCTAAACCTCATAAACATCTCATAAGCTTTAGAGACATCTCCATGTTCAAAGTCGAGATTTAAATCACTATAAGGATAATATTCAGAG